ACATTTATAAGCGTAGATACTAAAACCTATTGTAAGTCTAAACATGCATAAATAATATATGACTATAAATACATATATAAATAATTCCTACATTAACTAACTTCACTTATTCTGCTAGTTCGAGTAATGATTGTTTTTTTAATCTGTGATGATATATGTGGTATTTTACAGTTCGTTTGCTAAGACATTGGAGGGACTGCTTATTTTTGTTTTATAGTTTTGTGCTATTTTGTTTATCTCTTTATTTACTGTGTTGACGTTTGCGTCTTGGTGTATTAGCCATGTACGTACTTCGATGCAAAGAGAGCCTCACTTAGGATTTTATTTTCAAAATCTTTGAATGATTTGGATATTGCTTCTTTTAGCGGTACCCCATAGTTGGAGGCCATATGTCCAAACTGGCTTAAAGATAACTTTGTAGATGAGAATTTTGTTTGAAGTGAAGAGTTCAGATCGTCTTCGTAGCAGCCAGGAGAGAGTTATTCTGAGGTGTTCTAACTGTATTCGCTTTTTGAGAATGTGAGTTTTCCAGTTAAGTTTATTGTCCAAATACATACCCAGGTATTTAGCAGAGTTTTGTTTTGGAATTTCGTTACTGTATATGTAAACAGGTGGACATGTACTCCTTCGCTGTGTAAAAGTAACTTGCACAGATTTGTTACTGTTGACTACAAACCCACAGAATTTTAAACATATTTTACTCAACGGATTTTTTAAACAATTGAAACGATTTCAATTGAAAATGTCAAGTTAAAAGCTTGATAAAAACTGTGTTTCAACAAATATCTCATTTTTCTTGACTTGAATATTTTTGATCCTTATTATCTTGCAATATTTTAATTGCTTTATTTATTTAAAAAAAAATACGTTATGAAACTTTTGATCTTCAGAGACTAAACCCTCTGCCAATTACACCATATCTATTACAGAATGACCTTTACCTTATTATACCTTATTAGATCGTTTAATCTGAAATATAATATATATTTAATAAAACAATCAGTCTATCTTCCTTTAACTGTATATTCTCAGTATGTACAAGATGTACAATCAACAGAAGTATAACATGGTTTACAATAGAAATAAAAACAATTTATATTCTTTGGGCTATGACTAAATACATTTATTATTATACAGAGGCGAAGCAAATTTTTCATATATTTAAATAGCACTATATATTATTTATTTCATATATTATTTTAATCACTAAATCAATAAAATCACTCTATAATCTATATTTATATATAATATTTCTTAAAATTACTGATTCCAGTAAGTTTATTGCTTTTTATTATACAGTATATATTAAGTATAATTTATCATTATATGCTTAAATTTCAATATATTGTATAATTTTAACTCATTTATGTATATTAATTATTTCACATAAAACGTAGTTATTTTTAAAAAGGCTTGCTAAGTTCTAAATACTCAGAATTGAAGATTTTTCATTAATATTTTATATCCACTTTTTTAAATATTTGGAAGACGATATGAAAAAAGATATATATCTTTTCGGAAATATTTTCCGTCGACAATGCAGCACATATATACAGAAATCGTTTTGGCACGTTTTTTTACTTAAATATACATGCGTATTTAGAAAGAAATATAAACGGATCATCAATATATATCAATCAAACATAATATTCTATAAAAAGAAAAAACAATACAATTGGTGTTATCTATATACAGTACATTATATAAATTGTCGTAAAATTTACATATTAACAAGAAGAAATTAATCGATTATACTTTATTACAGGAAGCATTTATTATAATTCTTTAAGATCTAAACAGCAAAAATGACTCATAACAAGGTACAGCAATAATTAAAATAAAAATCGTTGTATAAATATAAATATTCATAACTGTGAGGTATTTCAATCATCTTAATAAATTAATAACAAATTATTTATTCCTAATGAAAAATCAAGAAGCCATTCAAATAAATTAATAAAATCAAATAAGGTGGCATTAAACATATTTTTTACATATACAGTCTATAATATTTTTTATAACAAATACATAAAAATAAAATAAATATATAGTTAAAAAGCTTGATAATTTGAACTCTGCATTGTTGTTTTTTTTTAACATATTCAAAATTCAGGGCATAACATTTACGTAAAAGTAAACTCTTGCTAGAATTTTATTTTCGCAAAGGTTACCATAGTTTTTATATTAAATATCATGAATGATTTAAGTATCATTTTGAAAAGCTTGAAAATATACCAGATGCGAATAGCAGAGTTTAATGTAGAAAGAACATAGGGGGCGTCCATTAATCACGTGAGGTTTTTAGGGGGAGGGGGGGTTTGACAAAAAATCACGAAATAACACCTGGGGGAGGGAGGCGTATAGCAAGATATCAGTTGTATTTATTTTTTTTACTATTTTTTATAAAAAAGTTCAAACATTTTCAAAGAAAAATCAGAAATTTTACAGTTTTTTCACATAACTAAAAATACACGTGATGTTTGGTGGGGGAGGGGGGGTAATTTTGAATATCACCAAATATCACCAAGAGGGAGGGGGGTCTAAAAATTCTTAAAAACTCGCTCACGTGATTAATGGACGCCCCCATATCAGCTCATTGATTTGAAAACACAAATATCAAGAAAATAAGTAACTTAAGTAACTCTAAATCTAACAATTTAATTATTTAATCTTTAATAAAATCAATTTTTAAATATAATTATTCGCTGTATCGATAAAACGAGTCAACTTAACATAACGATAGAGTATTATTTACAATAACATCAGGATAACTGGCTATTTAATAAATGTCACAACACTCTGTAGAAAGGACAAATAAAAAATATTTACGACTTGCGCCAAACATATAAAAAGTATCATAAATTTCGAATTGGTTTTGTTCTAAATTTTTCAAATTTTATCTATACATGTATATCACAGTCCGATTGCAGATACGATACACATATAAAGGGACAATTATCAATTCCGTATTGAAAAATATATCAAACATATAATATGCGCTCAATATCTTCGGTAACTATTTTGTGTATAGATAAATACATTACGATTTATTATCTTTGCTAATTATTTTATTCAAATAATTGAAGCTAAGAATCCAAAACAAAATGTATGTCAAAAATTATTTCCGAAATTAGATTAGATGTTCTAATATACTTCAATAAGATATGTACAATATTATTACCTATTTATTAAAAATATATCAGAGGTATTGCTCAATAAAATGTATAAGCTTTTTTTCTTATATCTTAAGCGATTGAAACTCTTTTGTCAAAAGCGATACTTTGTTCAAATATAGATAATCTTGAAACTTGATACATACAGTCAATATTATATATTTGGTTTTAAAACTTTATCTAAGGCCGAGAGGAATAGAAATTTAGATAGCATAACATTTTTCACATTACAATTTTTTGTAGATTAAACACAACGATTTCAAAAATACTATTTAGATAAAATTCATAATTATAGTAACAGGTTGCAATAAATTCGTAAGTCTAAAATTAACTAACATAATGCACACCCAAGGCATGCATGCAAGACATCTCTTTATTTGATGTATATTTTAATCAATCAAAATCAAACAATTAGTTAAAAGTCGCCAGATGTGGAACGGATACTTGTGAAAGAGAATGTCTTAAGATAGACCATTGTTTAAATATCTCAAATAAAATTTCAAGTCATTTAAATATTTCACAAGTTTGATAATATTAAAGCGCTAATAATAATTCAAAGTCAAAATGCTATCATAAGTGAAATTCTACATTTGGCTACTTATATATGAATAAAATACCATTTGACATTACTAGTTTAATCGAGAAGTATTGCTGAGCATTTTGGGATAGCAAAAGTCAAAATCAATTAAAAGAAAATTCATCAGGCTAATGCAACAATATTCCAAATAGTGTACTGGTAATTCATTTTTTTAATGATAACTGAATATTCGTTTGTTTCGATTTTGGAGCATCTCCATAAATTGCCGCTCTTATATTTTAAATATTTCTTACTAAATCTATATAAATAAATAAGCAATTTGAAAGTAAAAATTATGCTGATTTAATCAGTCTGTGATTTGAAAAAAGTACATGCTAAGATTATATTCATTTTTATAAATAACTAGAATTTGAATTAAAAAAGTGATTTTTTCATAATTCATAAATCAACCAATTATCTAATCCTCATATTATAATTGATTATCTCCTAACAATATCTTATTAAAATTAGTATTAGGTATATTAAATTTTACCTCATAATTAAATAACAGATTGGTTCAAAATAACAAATATGGTTCAATAAATATTTTCTCTATGCAACAATTGTTATAAAACATAAAAATACCATGTAAATGGTTATTGAAAAACGTTAGTCATATAAAATATATTTACCTATCCTATCCATAAAACAATTTAATTTTTAAATATCATAATTTTCTAAACAAATAAAACAACATATTGACTAAATTTTGCTAACATATTAAAAACAATAATCAATATATTGCTGATAGAACTTCCAATCACATTAGCAATTTAGTTTCATATAATATTTCAAAAATATATTAATAAATTGAACATTGACTATATTTGTGCAATATCCATGAAATGATTTATTAAAGTTTTATCACAAAAATGTGGTTGGAACTCTACTAGCAGCCCAAGAACAATAAATCTATTTAACATTAATTCTCTAAACATATAAATATAAATCATGATTAAAATAACAATATATTTACTACCAAAATTTCACTACATCAGAGTGCAGAAGAATATTAAGATGATTATTTTTATAAAATAAAACAGAAACCTCAGGAGTACTAGGATGATAAACATTAGACTAAAATAATTTTACAATAAATTTTATTATGTTGTAACGAAAATATATGAAATATAAAAATAAAAATCAAATTGCAATTTTAAGGAATGACTTTTTCTCAACATACAAAATATGCTCTGCTTTAAATTTTTTATTTATAAAAATAAAACATCATTGTAATACCGACTGCACAGCACGAAAACCTTGTTTCAAATCCCTGAATGAAGAAGAAAAATAAAAATATTTTCTTACCTGACAGCTGATTGAATGTTCTCTTCAATATTTCTCGACTTTGATTCTTTTGGCTTCATAAAATTTATTACTTAAATTTTTTGATGAGTTATAATATTTACCATCACCCGAATCAGCGGCCGAAATTCGCCTTTTAGGTCTTCTTAGAAGTCTGGGTTTGAATTTAGTGCGAGTGCTGTTACTATTTCTGGACTCCCTGGATTCTTGATATTGTGGTTTATTATATTTTGACTCGTGGTTTTGAGCATTCTGCTGATATTCCTGGCCATTATTGTTTTGGTGTACGTAGTTCGTCGTATAGCTGATGACTGATAGAGCATTTTCTGGAGTGGAAAGCCTCCTGATACCAGCCAGATTTAACAGTGCGTCTGCCCCTTCTGCCAAGCGCCGTTGTTCTTCCAAATCGGTGAAAGAGGTCGGTTGAGATTGACTGTTGAAAATATTAACAGTATTAGAAATGTATTTAAATAAAAAGTGGAGTTATATTCATTCATTATTATAATTATTTTACCAAGTAAAATCAATGAGTACATTGAATAAAATGCTTCTCTTAAATATAAATTAAATTATTAAATCACGTTTTATAAGAAAATTACTCATCACTTGTATTTCATTTGCATAAATCTACATGATAGTTGTACATCAAAACAAGATTAATTGAATGATTAAAGAAGAGAAATCTATACAGAGTAAGATATTAGCTACTTCAAAGACTACAATACAAACTATCCACTGCACAAACAATTGCACATTGTAGGATAAAAGATATACAGACACAGACACATTTAGTTAACTATCATGAGAAAATAATTTATCTAAGGAAGACCAAAATCGATTTTTATTAACATATCTTAACATATTTAAATCGGGTTTTGGAAAATGGACGAGTTCATTTGCTGAACTTTCCGAGTATTTGAAATTGGGCTGATAGTAGATATTAATTAGATTTATATCGATATTTTGTGGTCAATAAGCAAACCAAATGTGATTAATTAGTTACAAATTAAATTACAAAAAAAAATTAAAAATTTTAGTGTGTTGTATATTTGGTTATTAAAGAATTGAAGATTTTTGAATATTAAAGTCTGAAGCCTTCAGACTTCAGATATATGCAATATGGTGAAACAATTAACCGTTTCAAGATCATTACAAATTAAATTACATAAAAAATTAAAAATTTTAGTGTGTTGTATTTGGTTTTTGAAGAATTGAAGATTTTTGAATATCAAAGTCTTGAGGATATATGCAATACGTGAAACAAATAACCGTTTGAAGATCATTTATGAATTATCAGTTATCTTTATTCGATTATGTTCCTCTTAGAAGTTTTTATTAATAATTGCAGGTAGAATGTTCAGTGAGAAATAATTTTAACTTTAAAAAGTTGTGTATTCGTAATTATGAAATTTGATCTCCAATGATGAACCTCCACAGACATATCAATTCGCAAATGTATTAAAATATAAAAGCTATTTTAATTTTATAAATTAATGGGATGTGGGTATCTTATGTAAGCCACGATAAGTTATGTTTTTTCTTGCATATATTCTATCTTGAGTTCAGCTCGATATCGAGATAACAACCCGTATACACTTATACTTGAAAATATAGATCTAATATATATTTTTAAGTGAATATAGTCTGTCTTGGGCATTTATATCAAATATAAATGGGTTAACCACTCCATTAAATTCAACCCTAAAGGAAAAGATTGAGTGTTACAGGTCAAGGATTGCTGTTTTCTTTATAATTATTTTTTTAAACAAAATAAAATTTGTAGAGCTATATGAAAAGTTAACTAAGTTAGGTGTATATATTGGCTTATAGATTAAACATGAAGTATCTAATGGTAATATTTACATATGCTGATTATACCAGGACAAAGGAAAGTGTGAAGAAGCATCAGTATTGTTAATAGTTAGGGCCGACACATGTAATCACGTTGCCGAGACGTTTTTATATGTATCGACCCTATCAATGTTAGCAATTCTAAAAATACAACAGTTACAGACCTGTCATCAGTTTCGTAAGCGGCATCGGGTGAGTTTAGGGCGGCTGTGTGTTGTTTTTGTGGCGTCGATGCCAGGCCAACGCTACTGTACGTGTGATCCTCCGACGGGCTACTCGTTATTATCGGAACAGCCCTGCACATCAATACGAAAACAGAACTTTACCCAATTCATTTAATTTATCGTCAACAGTCAAAGCAAAATAAAGTGAATTATGATCTTTCATAGTAATATATTAAACCAATTTGAAATTTATATTGATATTTTAATGTCACCCCTAATTCGACGTAAGATAGAGTGTTGTAAAACTTTTCAGGTTCATATGGGTCATTCTTTTAAAATCGATACACCATCTAGACCTTGACATTTTAGAACCATCTGAAATTTTTGTTACAGATATTATACATAAAATCATTTGACACGTTGTTCAGGATTTTGCTGAAAAAAATTTTTTACGTAAATATTTACGTTTGAAATATAGATTTTTTGCTCAATTTCTATGAACATCCTCTGCGGTAAATTAATCATCTCCAATTGTGCTGATCGGACCAGTATTATTATTTTTTTTATTACTCATATTGAAGTGAACTTTTTAATGATTTAAAAAAAAATTTTTTTGCTATTTTCTTAACAACAACCCTTAAATTTTTACAAAGGTTTTACATACCTCAAATTGAATTGATTGAAAAAAAAACTATTTTTTTCTTTTTTTCTCTACAACAATTCACTTTTTTTCTGTTCACTATTTGGCAGATACTCTGTTACAACAAAAGATTTTAAATACTTACTGCAGGGATGTTCATAAAAATTGAGAAAAGAATCCATATTTTAATTGTAAATATTTATGTAAAAAAATTTTTTTCAGCGCAATCCTGGAATACGTGTCAAATGATTTTATGTATAATGTCTGTAAAAAAAAATTCAGACGATTCTAAAATGTGACATTTTTTTCGAAAATCCGTACGATTTGTAAAAAATGACCCATATGTGTAAATATATATAGATGTAATAGGATCGTTAATGCTTTCTTTACTTTTACCGACAAATATTAAAAGAATTAAAAATAATTGCTATTCAAATCCAAAAGTTTCGAAAATGACTGCTTAATTTTCGTATATTATTCATTAACCTCTATCTAAAAGCACATCATATATATTTATATAATTGTCTAGCAATATCTGAATTGCTTGTAATATTTGAATAAAGCATTCCCCAAAAGTATAATAAAAATTGAATATGTTTATAATATATTACTGTATATTACTTTAACTTTGTCATCCATTCATACTTCAACTAGTTTTTCCCTTAGGTCATTATTTATAAGACTTTATTTTGCAAAAAAAGTGAAAAGCTCTTTGCACATATTAAAGTACCCAAATAATTTCATCCCTAAATCATTTCATTCATCATTTATTTCACCAAATGATACTGTTAAAATATTTTGTATTTACTATGTTGATTTGTATACTTTAGACGCAAAGATGTCATATATATTTGCGAAGTATTGAACATTCATCTTTTGCAAGCCCACTTTGAAGGCAAAACATGAACAGGTCTGTTAGAGGTAGTTCATTTGCATCCATCCACTAGAGCAATTGAACATTTTACAAATAGGGAAATTGCACAAGAAGTTAGAATTTATGATTTACATTATTATTGTTAAAAGTATATACACGAAAGCAGTGACCTATTACCAACAAGCATCAATATGTACATCACAACTACACAAATAAAGTCTTTGGGACAACAATTTCATCACACGGAGATATATTTATAATACCTTTTGTTATATTGTTAATGATTCAACATGATTATCAAAGATGACATATTGTATTTTTAGCCAAATTTTAAAAACAATTACAAACTGAATCAGTATTATAAGTTACCATATTTATTAATCATGGTCTTCATGATTAGTGAGAAAAAAATCGAGTATCCCAAGGAACTATTAACATTATAAATAAATATATATATATATATATATATATATTTTGTAGAGTTTCGAACAAGAATCCAAAAATAATACAAAATAAAAAACAAGAAAAGTTTTTAAAAAAAACAATTTCTTTATTTAATTATTTGTTTATTGTCGACGTTTCGGAACTAGGTACGTTCCATCTTCAGGACATCTGTCAAGAAACATGATCTTGATGAGATTTTTGCAAACAATATGTTTAGGAAAAGAAAATAGATTTTTCTTAAATAATGAATTAAATTGTAAAAAATATAATAATGTACAGAAATATGATAATATGTTCAAAATAAAAATGATAAAAATAAATGAGTGGATTATCAAAACAGGATATTAAACATAATAGAAAATTTTTTTGAAAGTTATGGAAATTTTTTAAGAAAAGGTAATGACAAAGTTGAATTAATTACCTGTATGTTTGAATATTTGTTAGCACTTTTTCACTAAACAAGCTTTTTTAACAAAAATGATTTTGTGAGTTAATTTTCGCCGAATAATTAGATTTTGTAAATCAAAATTACTAAAAAACTTTGTCTTTTTTAAAATTATTATTTGAAAACACAAATAATATAATGAAATAATATCTGGATGTTGTTCGATTGGTTTACGAAAATTAACTAAATGAAACTGGTGTGCCCTTTGTAACACGTGTAAACACTTGAGCGAGAGATGTGAGATTGTATGTGTGTGTTTTTATATGTCAGGGTGTGAATACTTAAATTGTTGATCTTAAAAGGAAGTCGATATTAATTGTTTGTCAAAAAGTGTAAAAAATTTAAATATGAATCATGTAATAGGTTGTGATCTGATCTAATGTTGACACTGTTAGAAACGTTTATGAGGATGAGACAACTCTCCGCGAATAACCTTCTAAAGATGCAACTTTCGTGATATAAAATCTTTGGAGTGAAATTAAATGAATGGGCGTTTTCTATAGAGTGTTGTACTAGGGTACTTTTGAAATTTTTTGTTTATGGTGGACCACACTTAGTTCATGTTGTCTCATTCTCTTGTGTACATATTGGGAGGTTTGTCCAATATATTGAAAAGCACAGTCATTACAAGAAACAGAATATACTACATTAGTATTGAGATTGGATGGGGTGGGGGATTTAATGTTCGTAAAGAATTGGTTGAAGGAGTGTAAGGATGAGCCTGATACTAAAATGTTTCTTCTAACAAAATTTTGGCAAAATAATAATATAAATCTTCAACGTATGGTATGCTGCAGTAAATAAGATTGGTGTTTTTGATGTTAGTACTGGTATTGGGAGAATTAATTTGTGTTTTTAAGAAAGTTCGTCTTTTTTGAATAACTGAATGAATGAGATTTTTTGGGTAACCATTTTCAATTAGAGTTATTTTTACTAGGGATAAATTTTGTGGATGGAAAGTTTGGTGAGACAACAAAATAGCATGGTCTGTAAGGGAAATAATAGTGTTTATCTTATAGTTTCTGGGACAGTATGAGGAATAGTGTAAGTATCTACCCGACCATGTCGTTTTTCTATACCAATTTGTTCGAATAAAGTTATTAGTGTTGTAAACGGATACATCTAAGAAATTAAGTCTGTTGTTATTTTGTAGTTCATGTGTGAAAATTATATTATTGTTAAAATTATTGAAGAGATCTAGTACTGTGTTTATATGATTTTTGTTAATGATAAAAAAAGTGTCATCTACATATCTAATATAAAAGTTAATTTCGACTTAGAAACGTCGACAATAAACAAATAATTAAATAAAGAAATTGTTTTTTTTAAAAACTTTTCTTGTTTTTTATTTTGTATTATTTTTTGGATTCTTGTTCGAAACTCTACAAAATATACACAAATCCAAGACTCTACCATTCAATATATATATATATATATATATATATAATAGAGTAGATAAATATGATGTTTTAACTGGATCACTCTAATCAAGTAAAATTCAGATAAAGAGAATAAATATAGATTAAAAATAAGACATCTTGAACGGAGACTAATAAATTGTGAAAAATAATTACCCAGGTAATCCAAGTCGACCATGTTTGAGTGCAACCATGACCGCGGCTGCGTTTGCTTCTTCAAATTCTTCAGAAGTCCACATTTCTCGCTTGTCATGATTATACTCGGTGTGCTGCCTTTGTGATTGGCTAGAATTATTATAATGTGTACTGTTGTTTGGTTGATTGTCTTCATTGGGCTGATCCGCGGCCGCCAAACGCCGCGAGAGGTATGGGAAAAGATCGGGATTTGGCATGTGCGACAAACTCTGTAATAATAATTAAAATTTTAATAGAAATAATACATATTTTATTGCATTAGCAGATGGCATTAATATGTAGAAAGTGCAAGTAAAAGTTATTCAGAATAACTGATTATTGTTCATTATTATTATTGCAATCGGTCTCGAATGGGTTAAAGTAACCAAACCTAAACATATATCGCGCTTATATTTATGTGAATATTATTTAATACACATGTTATAAATACCACTCAATATTGTCTTAATCAAGTAGACTCAATAACATTTGTACTAGGAAATACAATACCGGTATTTCGGTATTTTTTTATTTTAAAACCGGAATACCGGTAAATTACCGGTTTATTATCTTAAACAAACGTAACCAAAATTGAAAGTTACTAGTGCATATATAAAAAAATGTATATACAACTACAACTATATTCAACTAAACAATAGAAACAATAGAATAAAACAATAAGTTTATTTTTTAAAATAATAATTTAACAAAAGTATATCCAATTTAATTAATTCATTATCACTATCGAGTATATTGAGTACTTTTCATCAAAAACAAACTTATGAGTAAGAAAGACCAAAAACTCATAAAAGATCATATTACATTATTACAATAAACTGTATTGTCTGTATCCAATGTGTTAAATTAGCATAATCTCTAATATTTTAAAAAAATAATTTTTCTGCACTAATTTAAGACCGGATACTTTGCCGAGATAAATAATAAATGTGATGCTTCTATAGTATTTTCAAACTTCGAAACGTTTTCGAAAAATAATATTTTATAATTGTAATAAGAAGCAAAAATATTTAGTAATTATCATAATTATTATGTATAAAGTTAGAAAAAAATAAAGATTACGCAGGGGTAATCTGTATGATATAAAATAATTTGGCGCAAATATCACTTAAAAAACCGTTACATTTTTTATCTATCAGTCCAATTCTATTTATTGTAACACGATATGAAGCCCTTAGTAAAGCAATAAATATTCAGTTTAATGACGATTTGAGATAATATTTGACATTTGTTTATCTTGTAGACTCACTTGAAGATATAGCTGTTTATGCGATTATGGAATTTAAAGATAAATTTGTTCCGAGAAATTTAAACTTTAGTGTATTATGTATCAAATAGCGCTTATGTAAAAATACCGAAAATACCGGTATTTTTGGGATAAATACCGGTAAAAATACCGCTGAAAAATCGGGCGGTTTACCGGTAATTCGGTATACCGGTATTGCATTCCCTAATTTGTACATATTTACAGGATATTTGTATAATAGATTTATCCTAGATTATCACTATATACTTTTTATTTTTAAAATACTGTAAAAGATCCTTGTGTCATTATTTAAATGTTTTATAAATATATTGTGAATAATAAAACTGTTAATATGGAATGGAATTATAGGTAAACTTCTTTAGGTGACAAAATAAAATGCGACAAATATATAAAAAACAAAGTTATTAAGTCTGTTTTTGTTTGACCATTAACCATTTGCTTAAATGAGATTTTATCAATAGGCATATCAATGTTCATGTTTACCTTTCCGTCTTTTACTGGGCTTCCATTGGTCAGGCTATTATTGCTATGTTTTCCATTTGATACAACGGTTGTGCTTGTCAGTCTAGTATTACCATTAGTAGCAGTTCCAATACCATTACTTGAAGTGTGTTGAGGGTTAGAGTTAATATTCTCTAATGCTGAACAAGGATGAAATGGTGAACGTGTCAATGCTTGTAATAAATTAGGTCGGAAGCGCTCATCTACCATCCAAAGGGAACCTTTTCCTAGATTCTAAAATGATTATATTGATTATATTTTGCTAAAGCTCAGAAAAATAAGAAGTTTAGAAAATAAAATGAAAATGAAAACCATTATAACAAATTATAGATTGAGTATACATCTCAAATTTAGATCGAGGCCATACTGAATATACATGTGTTAATTAGTTTTCCTACTTACCGGAGCTTTCTCCAATTTTTGGAAGCATTTGTTCAGTGAGAGATTATGTCTGACACTATTTTTCCATCCAGTAGGAGCATCGCGAAAATATGGAAAATGGGACACAATCCACATGTAAATTTCCTTTACTGGCAGAGCTTTTGCTTGACTATCTTCTATGGCCATAAATATTAAGCTGGAAAAACTATATGGAGGTTTACTGGTTGTATGAACCTGGAATAAAAATATTTACATGGTAATTAAAGGAATAATGATAAATAGTTAAACAAAAATCAGTTGTAATATATCTTACCAGTGGATCATAAGGTAAACTGCTGGGGTGTTTATTCTTTGTTGGTGATGGTTTTATTGTGCGAATTGGACTATGTTGATTGCTTGAACTGTAAAAAATGACACTGATTTGAAATTAGTATTTTGAATAGAGAACATAATTCATAATAAAACTATTACATATTACAAATATTAGCTGTTATATGTTCTAAATAACAAAAATTGTTCACTAAAAAATGACTAAATTAAGATGTGTTGTTGAACACAAAGATGACCTAAAGCCTAAATTGACTTCGAATAAAAAGGAGGATTGGCAAATGCTTTCAATATTTTATGTAGTAATAAATTATATCGTCATATTAACTATATTAACTATATTATCTATATTAACTATATTATATCAACTCTAACTATAGTAATCAATATGTACAAACTTAATCGATTTGATTAATTTATTAAAATGTAACAAATTTTGATGTTTACCTGTAATCACTATTGCTATTTCCGTTGTTTCTGTGAAATTGTTTCTGTTGATATTCATATATATTGTCAAGGTTGTGATTTTTGCTATTAGAACTATTGTTATTTCCGGCTATGATGCTATGATCAGATGAATTTCTTGTATTGTCTTCAGAAATATAACTGTTATCTTCAAAATCGCTTGTTGGTGACTCTCCTATAACGAAAACAACATAGTTTAGTTTATCTTAGGTAATACTTATAACAGAATATAATAAAAAGACATCAAGATAATAATATAGTAATAATAGTAGAAAAGTTTTTTGCTGCCATTTTGTGTGAATGGATATATTCAATAGCAAAATTAATTGATTTGAAAATTGAATTATATTAATTATTATTAAGTTAAACAATATTATCCACTATATAATTTTGTGTAATTATTACCTGTGCTACTAGCATCTCCATTATTACTATTCATACTATTATGATGTTGAAAAGTTCTTGTTGAATGAGTTACATTTTGGTGCAGTATAACAGTTCTTGTGGTAGGTGTGGAGGTTAAATTTATTTCTGAAAGTATAATTAAAATTTAATACATATACAAATACTACATGCATTTAGTATACCAAGAAGAATTAGGAATTTACAGTTTTTGTTATTAGAAAAGTAAAAGTTAGAAGACCAATAATTTCTTTTTACATCTGACTTTTCAGTACCTGGCATTTAGTAAAAAAAGACAGTAATATCAATATTACCATTATAGCACCTTGTGTACCTGTACCTTTCAAGAGATTCCTATCGTGCAACCAGGACAAAGAAGTAAGATCATCATCAGGGCTTGTCTCTACTCTCACTTCCCTAGTTTCTACACCATTATATTCCTCTTGGTCGGAAGAATCTTGCAGGTGAATCCTGATGCCGTCCGGGCTGGCGATTTGATACTGGTAGAGTTGTTGATGATTTTGCGTTGTTGATACAGGACTCGAAGGAGCACTTCGTGCAGCCATTAAGCACGGCGGCGTTATAGGGCGCTCTGGGGCCATGCTTCCTGGAAAAGGAGAAATAATAGATATTATTTATGTAAAACTGAAACTGAACTTATATAATAATATAATGCAATGATATCGAATAAGGCTTTCGATTCAAAAAGCTTGCCAAGCTTACAAAATGTAAACAATGCAAATGAAGAGTATTAAAATATATTCTATTTGAAACAGATAAATTTATTTTATAAATCTATTATTATTTTATTATTCTCACAAATGTTTTAACAATAACAAACAGCAAATCTTCCTGCAGCAAAAATGTATCGATGTAATACTTTCCAATTAATTATTTTGATACAACCCTATGTGACAGTCCGTTTATAAAATGACAACAACACTAAATAAGTGTATTCGTATCATATGAGTCATCGCAAAGCACTTGTTAGGTAAAGAAAACATAATGACCACAAATCAGGGGTAAAAAAACTTTGATATACAAAATTAAAATTTAAATGCGTTATAAGAATTTGTAAATAGCTCAAAATCGTTATTTGTTAATTGGGTAATTGGTTAATAGATTAATTCTAAATTAAATTTTTGAATATGTTGGTATAAAATAACAAATATAACTCAAAGCGATAATCTTGCAACAATATTTCCTCATAACATATTTTCTACAAATTTGCCAACACAAAATAAATAACCAAAGATATTATTTTAATTTTTATTTTACTAATTAAGAATATTATTCCCGGTAATACAATTCTCAGGACCCATCCAAAAACGCGTCTTTTGCGAGAAAGCGTATTATGCAAGTTAGGGGCAAAATGTTTCAAAGTCTAGGAACCGGCGCAAAGTAGCGTATTAGGCATGATTGTTTTAACGGAGTTCTACTGGATTTATCTACGTTTGACAAAATTTTAAAAATAACTCATAGTTTGACAAACAGATTTCAATTTTGATATTCTATAGAATGATTTTGCTACTCTATTAAATTCAAGCGCGATGAGACAAGCGTCTATATGAATAGAAAACGTATAATATGTTCTGAATTAAATAAATATTGAAGTTAGCAAATTTGCTGGTATGAAATATGCCTAAAATTAATTAGGTCAAATAAATTATGAAGAGTTTTCGCCATTCGAGCATTTCATAGAATACTTAAACTGTTAAAGAGGTAATAGAAACAGTTTAATGACAAACTTATGCATCTGGCAGTAAAACTGCTGAGATTTTTCATGAAGTATTATAGTTCTTTTCGCTATAATATGCTTCATAATGACCACACGATGTATATGATTGTAACTTTACATAAAAAAATATTCATTATATAATGAATATGCTCTATGTTAATAATATATATTAATGGCACTCAAAAAACGGCTTGATCTGTTAAAACATAATTTTGTATTATGTCAAGGGTATTTATACTATCATTTTTCTACATGCTCGAAGTACTCACAAAGTCGTTATCTTCTACATATAATGTGGATACTACAGTTTAAAAAAGTTTTCTCAAAATGGATCGTGTATTTCTTTGGCAGCTATTCAAGTGCAACTATAAAGTTGGCGTATATACGATATGCAGGGGACGAATGATTTAAAAAGTTTAACAGTTTTTACAAAAAGAAACAAACTAGTTACAATAACGACTTCATTTTTTAACACTTCAAATCACAAAAAAACCTACATTTTTCGCAATTTTCCTTTCGCTTCCAGAATCATATCTTTAAATATGAATTAGAAAATTGATAGCACAATTATGCCGCTTATTGAAGCATTCGAGGTATGCGGTAATGCAAGCGGATGTCAACCTTGATATATAAAAGAAACAGCCTTATCTCTCGAGTGAAAGTTCGTAACATCATTGGGTAGATGTGATGATGCGTCAATATCGAGAATTACAGCTAAAGAGATTAAAATTTGCTTGCTTACGTATAAGCTTTTATACATAAAACATTCTTAATTTAGCTTGATAGCATTGTATAGTCAAATTAAGAATATTATCTATGTCAAACAAACAAAGATTCCTTCGCGGTGTATGTATATTTCCTTTTTTTGACAGTTTTGTTATATAACCATCAGATAGCACTTTTCTTCAAATATTTCTCTATATCGTATTACAAAACTATGTTTACTTTTTAATCTAAAAATTGGTAACAGTATTGCCTGTGGTCAATGATGATGATTCGTTTCCTAACAGAAATCAAGAACTTTGACCTAATTAATTTAAAATTTCGCATTGACTTGCTTCCTTATGAAGATAGATAAATCAAAATATTAAACTCGTACTCGTATTTAAAACATAAATAACTCGTAAAAAACATAAATATATATATTAAAATAAATAAAGCTTCGTAATTGACATACTAGAACTTCTATTTCAGGTAAAAATATACGTTGCCATGACTACCAATCATAACATGGCCTTTAACTTTAAAAATGCAAATGTATTCAGCTTTTCAAATTAACGGTCGAGACTGGAAAACGTGATGCAATTAAAGCTTAATTGATTGAGAATACCATCAAAATAATGTTATTATCATTTCTGAATATAGAGTATCGATTTTACAGAGAGTTTACAAAAAAACGAATATAAAGTAACTATTTTACCACGTAAATCAAATAATTGAGTTAATCAAATTCCTAACATTTCAATTTAGAGTACGCACTATCTTATTACTTTACGTTTACTCATGACTTTTTTATAATATTAACACACTATAGGCGGGCCCCGTAAAAATTCTCGTCAGACCAAACTGATATGTGTAGCGGGCAAATCGCTTGCTCGACACGAGTGCTCTTTCCGTCGCCTCGCATGAACACAACTGGCTGTCACATTGAACATATTTTTTATAACTCTTTTTTTTAAAAAAAAACCGTCTAGTTGTTTTGAACTATAAAAAAATTATTTGATTTATGCATAATTAAATATAAAACTAACAAAAACTAGTAGCATATGGCATCGTGCTTTAAGGCAAATTGCTGAAACTTCCTGTACCATATCGAAATGTTTGAGGAATATTGAGTATTGAATGAAATATGTTTTTCCTAAAGCAATTGTTATGTCAACACAATCAGAATGTTTTTTGAATCATTCAATTCGGATGCTTATTTCTCTCAAAAACTGCCATTTTGTGTACATTTAGCTCCGTATCTTTGAAATGGTTGAACCTGCCTTTGCCAAAAACTAATCACCACTTCTCCCAATCATTACTAATTTAATGTTTTTTAGATCATTCAAATCGGATGCTCCGTTCTCTCAAAAACTCGATTTCTATTTTCTGCACTTTTTGCTCTGTATCTCCGTAACGGCTGGACCTGCGATTGCCAAAAACTAATGAGCACATCTCCCTATCAATAGGAATCGAATGTTTTTTGAACCATTCAAATCGGTTGATCCGTGCGTCCGAAAACGTGAATGAAAAAATGCGGCCACCAAAAACACACGCACACACAGAGACACATCCATTTCTTCTGAGATATGCCAAAATGTTCAGAAACCTAAAAACCGTAGAAAAATGGAATAATTTTCATTCTTGATTTTCCGCCCATTACTATTATATAGGTTAGTTATAACTAACCTACGGAAAGTTAAAAATTTAACGTACAGTAAATATATAAACCACTTTTTACATACGTGAAATTTATGGAAAAAATCACCCCTTATGAAGAGGTGCTGGGACCCGAATAGCAAAAATAGCTGACCACTTCAATTAAACTATTTGGTTTCAAAACAACGCAACTTTGACCCAAAAATGATTCAATAATTGGAAGATTGTCAAATTCTGACCACTCCACTTCTTCATTGTCATTATTTTCAGAATCTCTGGAAATAATCGGCAAAACTCTACGTCTTCTAGGATGAAAAAAATTTCATCCACATACACTACCAAAATCAGTAATATCAAAATCACTTCCAATTTGTGATAAATTATTGGCGCAAACTTTACTATCGCTATCCGATGCTATTATTTCATTATTGCAAATAACAATGTAAAAAAGAGTTGAACTATACAAATCTGACTAATAACTAAAATATTTGATAAAATATATATTGAACACCTTTTTATTGTTGTAAATTCTGCATATTTATCTACAAAACAAATTGCGAGTAGCTTGAATGAAAAGAAACTTGAAGATAAAACATATTGTTTCTTATCCTTATTCTTATTCTAAAAGTCTTTCAATACGTAAATCAATTGAATCTAGAGAAAAGTATCAGCTATTCTTTCAATATCATATGCAAACCGATCAGATAAAAGTATTTTGACTCGCTTTTAAAGTTAGTCTGTTCAAAGCGTAATAATACCTTGCCCGCCGATAAGCAACAGTCCTCGCAGAGCGTAATTTTACGGGGCCCGCCTATAGTGTGTTAAGAACTTAGAACCATGACTTTTTTATAAGAACTTAGAACCAGTTTTTATATATTATTTTATAAATTTTTTCTCCTTGATATATTGAAGAAATAAAATTCCTGTTCTTCAGTGGGAAAAATTAGGCTATCCACAAATGCCATAAACAGATAAGAATGCCATAAAAATATTGAATATTTTGCTTTATGAAAAACATAAACTATTGACTTTATTTATATATTTTATAATTGAATTTTGTTGAATGCAATTGCTAAACTATTGTATTCAACATTTTTAGGGGAAAAAACTAGGGAGCTAATATTTTAATTATCCAAATCCAAAGAAACTAATATAACTTCATCGTCCTTTTTTAGTTTTCAACAATAATAAGAAGAAATCAAATGTGTATTTGTCCATTTGTTATAACCTTCCGTATAAGTTAATTTGTAGAAATACAATTGAATTAAATTGTTTAAAAAACTAGCTGTAAGTGGAATTCTGTCTTAAGGCAATTAGGGCATCGTGCCTTAAGGCAAATTGCTGGAACTTCCCGTACCAAAAATTATTATCTTTTAAAAACTATACATTTTTGAAAAAAATTTACTTCGAAAAAATAAGATTTTTGAGAAACTATAAATTGGGCAAAAAATTACTTTTTTTGAAAAAAAAAATTTTTTTTAATTATTTTTTTAAATTTT